TGCTTTCAGAGGGCAGAAGGGAGGAGAGAGAGAGAGAGAGAGAGAGAGAGAGAGAGAGAGAGAGAGAGAGAGAGAGAGAGATCAGGCTGGGAATGGAGCCTGCAACCGAGGTGTCCTTGACCTAGACTCAGACTTGAGACCCTTCTAAGCTTGGGCTCTCTAACCACCGAGACTCGCTGGCCAGGGCTAGGAGGGCTCACTATTAAACACAGTACCTTTTGAGTGCCCAGGACCTGAGGTTCTCTAGGGACACCCTATCCACTGAAGGTATAATCCATAAACTGTGTGGGAGCCTGGAACCTCATTAGAAACCATATGCTCAACCAGGACAGATATTAACTCACACCCTCACGGGTTGAACTTTTCATCTTGTATGACTAGCAGGAGTATGTCTAACCCCACATACATCTGTCTCCAAGACTTATGCTCTGAGACTATTTTTAGCTTAACTTTCACTGCATAGCCTTTTGGTTTCATATTTCAAAACACTGGTGAGTGTATATGAGCCACACTGTTCGTGAACTTTATCATGAAAGTAGAAGGCCTTCTTCCCCATTTTAATAGAGAGAGAGAAAACATTTCTTCATTTTGATTGGAAAATAAGCCAGGACAATGAAAATAGAATACCCATTGCCATACAGATAATTCCTCCTCCTCCTCAAAAAAAAGTATTTTACTGAGGATTCTTCTGATTGTCAGAGGTGTGCTAAACACTTTCCTGTTATCCTTCCCAACTCTATGAGGTGTGGCCTTTTCAAGATGAGGAAACTGAGGGTTAAAAAGAGGTTAAGGAATTTGCCCAAGATCACAGGAGGTGATGAAGCTCTTTGGTGGGGTTTGCTCTATTTCCAGTGTTCTATGCACCACCATGCTGTTCAAACTTCCATGAGCACATGTATTAGTTGGGGACCTTGTGAAGTTCACAGACTCCAAGGTGGAACCTAAAATTCTGCATTTCTAATAGGTTCTGCAGTGCTGATGAGGCAGCTGGCCAATGGACCACACTTTGAATAGAAAGGCCCTATACTATTGCAAAGGTATAATTTCTCCTTTCAACACAATGGTATATTTCATCAAGCTGGAGCCAAGCACTCTTACTTGGTTACCTGACCTTGATACATTTGAGACAACATGGAGACAAGAAAGATATCAATCCAGAAGCAATAGTGGTTATGGAATGCATACATTTCCATGTATTTTTACAGTAAAAATGCATTAGAAATCTTTCACAAAAGAAACTTAAAAAATACAAGTAGGGTGTTGGGTCCCTCCCTCCCCCACATTCTTTTAGGCATCCGCTGTGTAATATGGGTGGGAAGGAAATTTCTAAATGGTTTGATTTCATCGTATAAAAGACACATCCATCATCTCTCATCAAGACATTTACATGAAGTGGGGGGTTCAGGAAAGTAGGCTCACAAGAATCAGTCTCCAATGTAAGGTTACAGTAGTTCAGAGAAAACTCTATCTTTCTATTTAGTGCATAGTCCCTGTACAGTACAATATTTCCAAAGCGAATCTGTGTGGGATTCTGAGGAAATAGCCACCAAAGTCTTCAGATTGTGACAAGCCCAGGTGGGTAGCACATAGATTTTAAAATGTCAAATGTTATCTATGACAATAAAAAAAGACATCAAAATATCAACGTTGATGTACTCCAAAAATCTACCTTGATTTCATTTATTTAAAACTCTGGACCACAACTGAGAGCATCAATCATTTAACATCACAGATTTTGCTAGAAATAGTGAGAAAATTCTTAGCAGTGGAACCTTAGGAATAAAATCTGCAAGTTGGCTCCTAGGAAATGTATGAAAAAGAACATCGTTATTCAGTTGTATTCTCCCTCAGCCTTACTACTATAGCCGATGTATGTTTTGTATGGAAAACTTTGATAAAAATAGCAGCTGCAGACTTTTTTTCTCTGAGGAAGTTGTTTTGTGAATGCCTCTTCAACTATAGCTACTCACCCTAGTGCTATGTACAAACCCATAAGTCAAATAAAGCTCTGAACAATGTAATATTATATATGCATAGTGTTTTATAAAAAGATTGGCCCACACACTGCTTTTCATCAGTACAGAAACAGCATTAAGTCCATAGCACACTGCAAGAAATGAGTGAAGAACAGAATGCAAACAAGTGCCTAATAGTTCACAAGCAGGCTCACCATGGAGGAAATTATGATACTCAAACCAAGTAAAGCTTTAAAGAATTACTTATATAGTCTCCCATTTTAAAACAGCTTTACATACCTGATTTAGTTTACATTAAAATATATCCCAATGAATCAATTTGTTCCATATTCAGAAATATAAACACATATCACATTCCTCACTGCTAAAGTTTTTGTCATAAATTCTCTTTTATACAAGAAAAAAGGCAACAGTTGTTTTTAAACAGGCTCTATTAATTACAATTTTTACTCTGTACACACAATGATTGGCTGGTTTTCTTTTCTTTTTTTTTTTTTAACAGTACCATGAGAACAACAGTGATTGACTTGCAAAGTTTGTGTCTGTATGGAAAATGCAAAACAGTACTACGGAAATATACAATGTATTGTAAGCAGCAGTTTGCTATAGTGGTCCAACAGGTACAAGCAAACATTTGGCTCAGCTAGGCAGTAATCCATTTCCCATTTCAACCACTTCCCTGGGCTATAGCAAACCCAATTACACCTTATGTGGGAGTGGATTGCAAAAGAATGTGTTGTTGTTTAAAGAAAAATCATGATGTTTTGCTTTGCTGTCCCAAAATTCAAAGGACAGGGTCATGAGGGCAGAACTTTGCCAATGAGCTCTAGAGCCATTGGGATCATGTCCTTTCCCCTTCAATTACCCTGGAGACTGTTGTTAATAGTTTCAAAAGGGAACCTGGCATTTCTTATGAGCACCTCTAAACCCTACATATCAACAGAGAGCTAACTCCACCAAGACTCATTCCCTCCTCCCCCATTTGCTAAGGAGCAACCTGGAATTATGCTAAAGGGGGGACCACACCTTCTCTATTGGGGATTTTTGATTCCTTCACACTGGGCACATTGTCCCCCACTCCATCTACTCTGCAGCCTCAACCAGACAATACAGAAGGTGTTTTTTTGTCCATTCCTTCCAGTAGTTGAGTGAGGCCATGATGGCACTGCCTTCATGAGATCTGACTTAGGAGGTGTTGGTAATGCTAATGAACCTGACCATCTGCACCTGGGCTGCATTTGGGTCATGGCGGCCTACCTTTATGGCCAGGGAGAGTTTCAACTGTTTTCTGAACCAACTGTGACGCAAGAACATAACATTTCTGTGTGCTGTGTAGATTTGCTATAAATATCCTTCATTTGCAATAGTAGTCTCTTCATATAGTTTGCTTGATTTTAGGATCACCGGCAATCCCAGAGTCCTCAGCATTTACAAATATAATTTTTGCCTCTTGGCTTTTTTTTTTAAAGAAAAGCTAACTACAGTATAGCACTACATCATTACATAAGTCTATATCAAATTAATCAATAACTTCCCTTAGAGAAAATGATCAAAAGCCCTATTTAACCAGGAGAGAGAAAAAGATTGCCCAAAGATGGGAACAATTCTACAGTGTATGTAGAAACAAAATTTATCCCCCTTTGGGGCAACATTTGGCAAATAATTTCCAGAAAAGTATGCATTTAAAAATACTTTCTTTAATATTATACATCAGGCACAACACTGTTCACATATATATTTTTTCCTTATAAATTCAAATGCATAACATGTGTGTTGCTATTCACAGGGTGTTCAGGTGCCAGGTGCTTCCTAAGGTGAGGACATGGTTTCAGGGGTGAGCCTCCTCTTGCACCTCGGCCCCGGGATCGCCCCCGGCCGGGCTCAGATGCTGAGGTCGGTGCTGCACTCCTTGTAAGGCCGCCGTCTCTGCTCCGGGG